TCATGAAAATTATTTGTGAAATAGTGCATACTTTTACAAACATGGTGTGACTATTTTTTGCTGTTATATTTATGTTGTTGGACTCGCATGTAACATAGCTTCTCAAACAAAAATAAATTAATATAATTTTATGAGTAATACTTTATGATTACCATAGTGATGAAATTAATATTTATCTGCTTGACCCTAACAGCAGGTATCATACACAAACTCCATAAATCAACCAAAAGAATTCAAGTTTATGATATCAAATGATAAAAGGTGTTCTGAACAGTGATACTTGATTTATGCATAGCATCGAATTAAAAGTACTGTTAGTTATCACCTTTGATGTTTAGTTTAAATATTTAATATATTTTGTCAATTCCTTTTTTTATAACTTGGGGGAATAAATTCCAACCTGCTATTAAAATATGTCTTGTATGATTTTCAAGTTTATTGTTAAATTTTTCTGCCCTTGAAAATTTAAAAGAATCACTCTGGTTGGATCTGTAACATATCTTTAATTTATTGCCTTCTCACAAGCATTGTTATATAATATCACACAACATCTGTAAAATCAGTCTTTTTTTTTTTTTTGTAAAATATACCGGTAAGTTATGTCACTTGATGTAAATTAATAAAATGATACTTTCCTCCAATATGTTTGTACCTTTAATTTGCCTAGTACTACATGTTACTTCTGAAATCCTTTTTGTTTTAATAAAGAGGTCCACTATTTCATTGCACTTAAAAGGGTTGTTCCCTTGGGTGTCTCCTCTACCCCTCCCTAGGAAGAGAGACCTTGGGAACAAAGTTGACCCTCTATATAATTCTCATCACTTGTCTACTTGACATGGTATTGGTATTGTAAGGAGAAATTCTGTCTTGGTCACACATGGGAGTTTAAGGGTTAATAATCAAAATTATCCTTTAGGGAGGATGGTTCTGTTTAAAAAGCTTGTCTTTTCATGTTTATTTGATTCAGGCCTTAAATTTGTTTCTTGGCCAGTAGTATAATAGCCATGCCAAACTCAATAGCACTTCCCAGTGCTCCAAGTGATGCCAAGCCATAATGTAACAACATAAAAGTTCCAATTCCAGGGGCTAATGTTCTCATGAGTGCTTCAGATGTTGCACAAAGTCCTAAGAGTAGCCCAGTGTCGTGTCTGCTGACAGCTTTGGTTGCCATGGAAGTTGTCATTGTTCGTGCTATGGAGAATCCTATTACCAAGATCACTTGTGAAGCAATGTACGAAAGTGTATGTGTGGCAAAATACTGCAATAAAAAGAGAGAAAATATTGGTTTTTATCAGCTAACTGCACTTAGTAGAGTACAAATAACCAGAGGATTAAGTAAAAACATCATGCGGTATTGTATGGTTATCTGTACAGTTGGTTATTTTGTACTGTAAAAAAAACCTGTTAACCCTTTAACTCCCAAGGGTGACCAAATCAGAATTTCTCCTTACAATATCAATACAATGTCAACCAGTTAAGTGATAAGAATAAAGAAAAATGTCAATATTTTGGGGATAATTGGTTGATCCAATACTAAATTCTCTGAGCTAACATCATAAGAATTGTATGGTTGACAGTAAGGAGAATTACAAATTTGATCTGGGAGTTAAAGGGTTAAACCAGTCAGCTGTGCATGCTACGCTGTTCTATCTGCTTTAATTTGCTTCTCCCACCTTATGAGAAATGAACAGAAAAACTTGGATAATAAGTAACTTATTATACATTTTGGTGTGCAGTATCACTGAGTATTTCTACACGTAGTTTGTATTTTGACTCACCCTATGGGCTCATCAAAAAAAGGCACAATTTGTAAAAATACTCAGCAATACTTAACCCATCAAAAAAAGTTGTCTTATAAGATTTATGTATTATTTGGCAAGATAGTATCAAGGTGAATCCAAGCATTTTGATTGGATCCTACTCAATCAGAATTTTGCAATACAAACCGTTTCTATGGAAATGGTCATACGTTGTGTATTTTTGGTCACCAAAGTTGGCAAATTCAAATTATACAAGTTTTGTCTGAGTGCCACATAATTAACTTTTTACTAATCTTGCTTGCCCAAGGTACACTTAGGAATATTGGCCCTGTGTTTTTTGTGTTATAGTACTGTCACTATCTCAGGCCAATATTCCCTAGTGTGGCCCTCACACTCTGTTAATAAAAAGTTAGTATTTTTACTAATTTTTATTTTACTTGTCTGTATTTTGACAGCTTTTATAGGCACAACTTAGTGATATGTTTTACCAGGTACTATCAAAATTCTCTGAAGTAACATATACTTCTCTAAACATTTATGTCATGGTTAAAAAAAACAATGATTAAAGGAATGTATATCTAAGGGAACCTACCATCAAAACAAAGGCACACCCAGAAATAAGAACAGCCAGAATTAGAAGGGAAAATTCACTAAACCTTTTTAAGAGCATACCAATTCCAAAACCTTGAACCATCTAAACCCAAAAGAAAAAAAAAAAATTATAAACAATACATACAATTTTACAATGACTGAGATAATTAGCATCTATCTATGATGGAGGGTTAGAAGAATCACAATTTACAATCAGTTAAATAAGATTCAACTTGGATAATGGGAGTATATCCTCACAGGTGATCTACAGTGTTGGAAAATGCAGAAAAAGAGCCTGAAAAAAAAATGAAGCTTTGACAGGATTCAAACCCATGCCTTCTAAATACTATTTGGATGCATCTGCCAAATAACCTCTGAAGCCACACTTTGGCAACAAGACACATTTTAGAGGGTTTTTCTTTCCTTTGGGGGAATCTGATCTCAATCTGAGTATCATTGAAAATTCAGGATAATGGCAGAAAATTTAACATAATGAGAATCACATTTGATGATGATGATGATGATGATGATGATGACAATAGTAATAATGATGATGACAAGGATGATTTTGAGTTATTGGTAACACAATGCATTATTATTACAAAACAATAATAATTACAATATTACATTAATTATTATTACAAAATAATAATAATTACAATATTACATAATTATTAGTAATACAATACATACAGCAGAGGCTGCACCAATCCCAGCAAGAAACAAACCATTTTCCTTTGGTCCAATTTTGAAATACTCCATGTTTATAACTGGACCTAAGGCCTGGATCAATATTGCTGGCGCTAAGGAAGCTGCTTGTGCCACCAACATGTACAACACTTGTGGTATACTTAACAAGTCATAAGTTTTTGTAAGAATAGATTTGTCTTGGCTTTTGGAATCTATGGAGGGGAATAAGATGGAAACATTGGACATACATCAAGACAGTTAATAATGATTCCATGAAAGCCATCCTTGACCAATCAGAATGCATGCATCTCTATAATAACTGCAGCAATTATACTAAAACTTTGTAACCTCACTCACCTGCAGCATCTAGCTTGTTCAGTGACTTTGTGTGTTTGGGTAAAAACATCTGTATTGTTATAACAGATACCAGTGACAATATTGAAGCTAAAAAAGCAGTTGTATTGTCACCAAACTTCTCTGTGACAAAGCCACCAATGAGTGGACCAGCCATGATTCCAAGAGAGAAAGCTAGACCAAGTTTACCCAAAGCAGCAGCTCTACCTGCAAAATCCAAATTTTCAGTCAGTTTTTAGCACACATTGCAGACCTATTTTTGAATTATTGAAAAGGAAAGTTAAACTGATTTAGGAATTGTCACCTTAGAGGTAACTAAGGAAAAATTTGAGTTAGAATATTCTCTAGTCAGTACTTCACAGTTAAGTTTTTTGAGGCTAGAGTCAAGAAAAATTATTGCAAAATTTTTTTTTACCTGCTTTATCTGATGTGTCAGTCATCACCATCTGTAGACCTGAAAGGTAGAGTTAGTATTGACTGAGGGATCAGTGAAGTAATTCCAGAGAGCAAAGAATAAAAAACGTCATCCCCACATGCTCTACTACAAAGATAAAATTTTACAATCAGCGACAAACCCACTGGTAGATAGGAAGGATCACGAGGGGAGGTGTAAAGGTAGTATCCTTGTATAGAGTTGATTAGAGGTGAGTTGACAAATGTTTAGAACAACCATGAGAGTCACCAGAATCTGTCTTTTTTGGGGTGTTAACAACTGAGTTTAAAACATGAATTGGCCACCATAAAGGATAAAAAAGCTGATGAAGGGCTAATGCTTGAAACGTCAGCTTTTTTACCCTTTACGGAGGCCAATTTATGTTTTCAACTCAGTTGTTAGCATTAAATTACCTGCTATACTCTCACCCACCGACCCAGCACCACAGTTTCTTTAGAAACTTACCCCTTTATTTCTTTGGGGTGGTCTAGGCACATATTTTTTCTCCTTAGATGTACAATTCTTAACACTCATTTTAAACATAAGTAATTCTGAAAGTGAAGTTCCCTCCACAGCATAATAACACTTAGTAATACATAATTTAGCTACATTTTAAGCTTTGAACAACTATAACTAACATGGACCTACAGTTCGGCTAAGCTAATATAGGCAGGCTATGGATATGATCCTTGTCATTTTTTGAAGAAATTTTCCAAGTATAGTGGAAGGTCCCTAGTGGTTACTATGACAACTTTGACAGCATTCATTTTTAATAATCAGCTCCCAAAGGAACAGTTCTTTTTTGGTGTTCAATCAAGATAATATCTTGTGTAGGTGCAAAAATTTGTGTTATTATTTTGTTTTTGTTGTTGTTGTTGTTTCATAGTTTTGTGTTAGGTGTTTAGTTTCTTGTCTTCATTGGTGTCCTATGTCAGTTATCAGTTTTATACTTGTTATATTTATTTGCATATTATATATTCTGTTTATGCGTAATTTATTTGGTCAATTTTCTAGTTTGCGGAACACATCGGAATATATCATGCTTTGGGTTTCATTTTTTCGTCTTTTGGTTTGGTCACATTCATCTTGTAAGTGTCCTTACTCATTTTGCTTTGT